CAAAATTTTATGTTTTTTAAAAATTTTATGTTTAAAGCCCAAGTGTAATGTGAACATTCTTTGATCATGAAATATCTCCTGTATCCACATGAGCCTCTCAGTTTACATTGTACGACTTTATTTTGAAAAATCTTGCTTTCCTCTTCAGCTCAGCAATCTCTTAAAACTTACTCACCTTGATTTGAGTATGAACCACTTCACTACAATACCTCTGGCTGTGTTGAACATGCCTGCCCTTGAGTGGCTGGACATGGGAAGCAACAGACTTGAACAACTTCCTAGTACCATAGAAAGGTAAAATAAATATCTTTTTATGCTATTAACAAACAGCTTAAAACCACCTAGGAAAAATATCAGATAATGAACTAAACAAGACCAATAGAATCTTGAGCACTATCAACTAAAGGAGATCATATAGCTTGAAATAGGCTGTGTTTCAACAGAATGTTTTCATTTATTCCAAATAAATAAAAAAGGCTTAGGGAGTAGAAAAAATGGCTGACTTCAAGACAGTAACAAGAATATGTCATAACAATAATAAAAGCACTGCCTTGTCATGCCAGCCATTTCTGCATACTTGAGAAAGGAGTGCCCAAGGTCAGTTAATAGGTATTTAGCTCGGATTTGGACCTAGACACCCTGACCTGAGTCCATGCTGTTAGTGTGTGCACTGTGTGAACCTTAATGGGATTTCTCTGAACCCCTCTACTCCTGTCCCCTTGGTACTGTAAGTTAAACCCAGGGCCTGCATTCACATTGAGCTACATACACACTCCTTAAAATTGAGTTGCTAAATTACCCATGCTAGATGTGAATTTGTGATATTCCTGCCTGAGCCTCCCAGAGTACTGGGGTTACAGGCCTATGTCACCACACCCAGTCAGCATATAATAATTTCTGACTATTCTTGCAAAACTCAGATATTATTCATTATGAAAACTGTAAGAAAAGTAAAGAATTGTAAAATATGTTGATTTTATTTCTACCATCACAGGATATGAGTACTATATTATAGAGATTAACTCCCTGATACAGTTTCCCTAGTAATCAGGTAATATAATCAGTCAATTCAATAAGCATATTGGTTAAATGAGATACTGTGAGATGACATCTGATTTTTAAGGTAATAAGAATTCAGCTTTTCTTATTTGATGAAAATAAAATTTCATAAAATACAATTAGTATATTACATGCTGCTACCTTTGAAAGTAGCTACTCAGAGTACAAGACACAAGCACACATTTTCCAATTGATATTAGCACAACCCTTTTCAGGGAGCTAAGATACTAATAGTACGATTGATTTGCATTGCTTCCCTTTTCACCTACCCAGTTCCTTTTTCCTTTTCAACAATTTCTTACCATTTCACATCTATTGTACATTTTAGACCTTATTTATTCTTTGAGTTTCTCACACCAGGAAGACAATACAATGTTTACACATGTGAGTCTGATTTATTTCACTTATGATTATGGTCTCAAGCTGTATCCAGTTACCTATAAAAGTCTCAAGTTTATTCTTTATAGCTGAACAATAATCCATTGTATTAAAATACCACATCTTTTTTACCCATTCCTCAGTTGATGAGCATTTGGGTTTCCAAGATTTAGCTATTACAAACTGTGCCGCTGGAAACATAGGTGCACATATGTCACTATGATATATTTTCAGTTCTTCTAGGAAGATACTCAGAAGGGAAGAGCTGGTAGAATGGGATCTCTACTGTTTTTTAAGGAATCTCCACAGTGATTTCTTCAGTGGATGTACCAGTCTACATTCCCACCAACAGTGGAGAAGGGCTCCTTTCTCTCCACAGTCCTTCCAGCAGTGGTCATCGGTTGATTTCTTGATGGTAGCCATTCTTTCTGGGGTGGGATGCAATCTCAGTGATGCTTTAATTTGCATCTCTTGAATGACCAGTGATGTTGAACATTTTTTAAATGTATTTATATTTGACTAACTGCATAAGCTTCTAATTCTTCAGAATGCAAAGTCTACATACATTGTGGCTACAACGGAATGAAATAACATGCTTGCCAGAAACAATCAGCAATATGAAAAATCTGAGTACTCTTGTTCTCAGCAACAATAAAATGCAAGATATTCCAGTATGCATGGAGGAAATGGCAAATCTGAGGTAAAGAGCTACAGCCAAACCTGACCTGTTCATTTCAGGCCACAGAACGATGTGGGAAAGTTGGCATATATTTGATTTATTTCTGTGAATGTTTAGATATTATGAAGGTATGTATTTTAAAAACATTGTGCTGGATTACACACATGCGCGTGCACACGCGCGCGCGCGCGCGCACACACACACACACACACACAATGCTCTTCAGTACTGGGGATTGAACCCAAAAATGTACTCCAACCTTCTCATCAATTTTTTACTTTGAGACAGGTCTGGCTATGTTGGGCTCTGGACTTGAATTTTTGATAATCCTGCCTCTGCCTGCCGAAGTGCTCGTATTACAGGCATGCACCACCATGCCCAATAGAAGTTACCTCATTGGACAAATAGTATTCATGTAGTCTGTTCTCAACTATTTAAGAAACTTGAAACTAGGACAACACTGAGATTTATTAGCTCTAAGAAATGTCTTACAAGGAGCTGGGGAGATGGTTCAGTAGAATAAACCCTTCCCTGGCAAATGCAAAGGTCTGAGTTCAATCCCCGGTTCTGCCAAAAAAAAAAAAAAAAAAAAAAAAAGAAAAAGAAAATAAAGAAATGTCTTACATTTGTAACATTTTCATGGAAATTCTTTAATACTTCTAAAACATCTTATTAGCAAAATAAAAACCAAAAAGATATAGTCACTTACCTCCAAACTAAAAATGGACACAGGCTACCATGTAACTGGTAGTATAATATTTTAGTCCTTACGATCAGAACTACACTGAGTGTTTCTAAGATCTAATGTGCTGACAGTAAGAATAAGAGAATACACACCAAAACTTCCACCACAAAATCATTCATTCATTCATTCACAGAGTAACATTCTTGGCCTTCATTTATTCAGCAACTATTAGTCCTGCACTGAACGGTAAAGACACAAGGATAAATAACACACACACAGGCAGCAATGACATTCATAGCACTGATCATATAGTTAAGATGCATTAAAATTGCTCTTAAAGTTAAACTACCAAATGAATGTTATGAACTAATAGTTGCAATATTTGTAACTTCTGAAAGTAACTTGTCTCCAGCTAGTATTTTTTTTTTCCTTCTAGGAAATAAAGATTCTTGGGGCATATCACAACTCACCAAGATATTCAGTTATTAAAACCAGTAAAATAACAGCAAATTAGTATGTTATCATTCAACTTTTATCCAGGGAAATATATACTATAAAACTGCTTTGTTTTTGTTTTGTGTGTGTGCTGCTAGGTTCGTCAACTTTAGAGACAACCCACTAAAATTAGAAGTAACACTTCCTCTCAGTGAAAGTACAGATGAAGAGGAACAGGAATTATTTGGCCTTCAGTTTATGCACAAATACATACAGGAGTCCCGGAGAAGGGCAGGTATAAGATTTGTATACATTACAGATCTTTCTTTTGGGGGTTAGAGGAATGCATATATAATTAACTTCTATCTTATTAATTCCTTTATCAACTTCTATTTTACTTTTTCTACAAAATTCTGGTCTTTTGGCAAATACTGTGGGTGACATAGTGAAATTCAACTGGTAATAATTCAGATAAGGGCCTGAAGGGAGGTTGTGAAGACATTAAAAATAGTATCTTTGTTTTGTTTGAAACAGGGTCTCACTATGTAGCTCAGACTGGCCTTCAACTCATAGAAATTCTCCTACCTCTACCTCCTGAGTACTGGAATTTTGGTGTATTCCATCATGCCCAGCTTGAAGACACAATTCTTATCTTTTAAAATTATTTTTTAATCTTTTATTTATTTGGTAGAGGGTCTTGCTACACAACTTGGACTCATAGTGATCCTCCTGTCTCAACCTCCACAGTGCTGGGATTACAGGCATGTACCACCATGCCTGGTTCAATGGCCAGCACAGCGTCTCCCAGGTTCTGGGGCTGATACAGCATGCAGCACTTGGGATCAAACCCAGGTCCTTCACTTGCCAGGCAGGTACTGAGACCACTGAGCTATCTCCCCAGCCCTAAGACATGATTCTTAACAGCTTCATTACCTCAGCCAAGTTTGTTATACATGTCAATTTGAGTATGAACACACCTCAGCTATGCCCTTTATCGTTAGTAAACATCAAAAAATCATTTTACGGGGCTGGCCAGATAGCTCAACGGACTAAAATGCCTGCTTAGGCAGAGCACAGAGGCTGGGGTTCAACCCCCAGTGTGCTGGCCCTGCCCCTGGGCGTGCTGAGATGGGTGATTGAGACTGGGCATGGTGGCATGCGCCTGTAATCCCACGGCTTGGGGAGGTGAAAACAGGAAAGTCACTAGAGTTTGATCTACATAGTGAGACCCTGTAGATCCTATACTAAATACAATAAAAAAAAAAAAATCAAAACAAAACCCCACAACAAAAACATTTTACTTAGGAATGAAAGCTATTAAGAGAAAGGTTTTTTGTTATTTTTTCAATGCTGGAGATCAAGCTAGAACTTCAGACATGCTAGTTAAGCATTCTACTACTGACCTATATCCCCAAATGTGAGATTCTGATACACAGATTTCAACGAATTAATAGATTTGTCTAAATTTTTTTTTTTTTTTCCAGTACAGGGGATTGAACCCAGGGCCTCTGCACTGTTACATTTTTAGACCTTTTCAGACTTTGAAAAACTTCTCACTAAGTTGGTCAGGCTGTTTGAACTTGTGATCTTCCCACCTACCTTAGGCCCTTAATCATCTGAGTTTATTGGTCTGCACTACCACACGCAGCTAATATATATATATATATATATATATATATATATATTTATATATAATTTTAAGAAAGCCTTAAACTATGATTGGAAGAATACAGCAAAGAGCACAATTCTGCTCATAAAAGTAATGGAAACTACAGTAAAGTAGAAATCATGGCAATAAATCACTAAAATGTAGCTTTTGACTGACAAGGTAGACTTTTGATTCAAACCAACAAATACTTTAAAAAATGAGTGCAGTTTTTCCATTAGAAAACCATTCTGCCAATGTATCCAGTGGCAGATTTAAAAATGTAAGTTATGAGACTAAGTCACTAAAATTGGTATATGCCAATGTCTAGTTTAGCAAGTAATTAATTCTGTGACAAGGTCACAGAAGCAGAGGACAGACTGGGAGAACACAAGGAAAAAGTTCTAATAGTGTGGGGCCTGATTCTGGAAACAGAAGAATATGAGACAAACAGGTAGTTATGACCCGAATGAAGGTGAGAAGAGGTAGCAGCTCAAGTGAACAGAGGGGCAGCTGAGCGGATGGTGGTGCAGAGGTGGGGAGAAGCTGCTGTGGTGGGCAGAATCAGGTGGTACAGCAGAGGATGAGCTCGTTTTAACAGTAAGTTTGATGCACCTGTGAACATGCAGGATCTGCTCATTGTATCAGTGATGACAAACTGGAGGCATCTGTGCTTATCACTGAAAACTCTAATCAGTGGTATGGATAAATGTGACATTCAAGAAGGGGGTTTGCTGAGCATGCATGTCCCACACAGTCATTTTGTCATGCCATGTGAAAAAAGACAAGGCTGGGAAAAACAATAATCTTGACCTAAAGGTACAATGTTCTAGAATAAGTTTATTTTCCTATGAAGTATTCAGTACCCTATCGGACATACATCAGTGAGCGGAATCAGGATAATCCTTGCATGTATTATGAATGCCTCATGAAACATAACTGAGATTATACTTTTTGTAGAATATCTTTTATTTCTGGGCATAAACTGTAGAATGATACAAAATAAATTTTATCTCACAAATGAACATTTCTGACAAAAATAAGGTTAATTATTGAATGATGTACCATCTTCACTTAATGTTCTCTAGATTAAGGAACATGGGTAACTTAAAAATAATCAAATTACCTTGTTTTAATACTTGATATGACTATTAACATGAGGAAAAAGTTAACAACTTAAAGAGATAACAAGACAAAAGCCTGCCTATTATGTTATTAAAATCAGATTCATGAATTACTACTTCTAGTTAGTATTTATTACTTACTCTGGGCTTGCTGTGATGCTAAGCATTTCGCTTATGTCACCTCGTGTGATGCACACAATAACCTTGTGAGGTAGGTTTTATTGTCACCACATCATGATCCCCATTTTAAGAGGACAAAACTGAGGCACAAAGAGATAAGTAGTTTGCCCATGGTCACCTATTAAGGGGCAAGAGGATTGGGATCTGAACTTAGGCAGACTGACAAAACATGTAAGATTAAATTAGAAAAGTCAGAAATTAAAAATGGGCTAGTCTTATTTATAATTCATTTAACAATAGACATACAGAATAAAAATAGTTACCTTAGAAATATCATAATTGAAATCAATAATTCTGGATCTTTGTCTTGGCATATGTTTTGACAATTAAGACAATTTTTACAAATAAATACAAAAACAAATCAAGGATAAGATGTGAAAGAGAGTAACAGTTCTACTGTATGCTTGGTTTAATGTTTGCTTGTGCATAGAAACCATTCATCAGTTAAATAAGGCATAAATGTGTTGAGGTTTTTGGTTTAATTTTTTAAATTTCCACCTTATTTCAACTTATTTTCCCAAACAGGAGAGAACATACTTAATGTTTGTATTACATATGTAAGAAATAGCTTTATTATATGTGTGTGTATTTAACTTAGAAGCTATTTGCAAATTTCAAATTTACTTTGTGATTTGTATTTATAAATATAACTTTAAAGTACTATAATAATTCAACAAAAACTGAAGTGATTTTTTGTTCAGTGGAAAACATCTCTTCAGTTTTGTTGTTTGTCATGAACAAATTCTGGTAGTATACAAATACATGTGAGGAAGCTGCCAGAGGATTCCATTACTGATTGTGAATAGCCTTTCCAGATCTGTGGGTTTCTACTTGTTTGATTGGTTGGTTGTTTACTGGTGGTTTTGTGAGACAGGGTCTTGCTACGTAACCTAGCCTGGCTTTGAAATCATGATCCATCTGCTCAGGTCCTGGGAAAACAGGTATGTGTCACCATTCCTGGATCCAGATCTGTACAGAATAATAAAATCCATACATAGGCTAAGTTCTAAGACTGACCCTTGTTACAAATTGACAACCGATTATTTGTATCTTGAATTTGAGATACAAAAAAAAAAATTAAATAAAACCAAAGGAAATAAATTTCCCCAATTAATATAAATAGAAATTAATCTTAATTACATGATGTACTATGTGTTTCAGATGACTGGGTCAAGTGTTCAGCTACTTCACCAACCTTCATTAATACTGATGGATAATATAATTCAAAATGCCCTGCTGAAGAAGATTATTTTCAGAATTTGGTGACTACTTTGTTTGGATTTCTCAAGTAAAAAGCAAAGCTACTGCTACAGATAAATTAGGCCACAGTATTTTTAAAGATCATCTATTCAAATTATATTTTTGTGAATATAAAAATATAATTTAAAAGGTATTTTTGGTGGAAGACAGTTGATACCCAAATTTCTTTTCCATTAAGCAGTTGTTTCTGGTGATAAAGAATGAATTGGTAGAGCTGTTAGCAACACATTTTCTAAAGACACCCAAGGGTCTGTGTAGTACTGTAAAGCAGGATGAAATCCCTTCTGCTCTAAGTATTGGGCTCGGCCTTGATCGATCAGCAGTTTGCAAAGATGTCCTATTTTCTTCTTTTCTTCAACAGTAAGAAGCCTAAGTTGAATAAACATACAAAATATTAAAATTTTATAAAGGCTTATACAAATTATTTTAGCCAGTTTTATTTGTTAAGAAGCTGTTAAGTACATTATGTCCCATGCTTCCAAGACATATTTTAGGATCAAAGTAAAGATGTATTCTAACTTACTCTAAAATTACACTGGAAAATATGTATTTATGAATAAAATGTTTTAATGGTCATCGAAAAAAAGTAGCCTTCTCTCATTAAAGGTTTTACTTTTTTGTGGGTTTCAGTGACAGAGATTGTATTCTGTGAAAATATTACACAGAAAATTACACAAATAAACATCTTAGGCTTTTTAAATCAGTGCTGTTGTGAGCAGCAAACCTTACACCAGCCCACTTCACCCCACCCCGGGAGTGAACCACTCCTGTTGAGCACGGCCACGCTCACACACTGCCCGCCTACGGGTCACTCAGCATCTCAGCAGACTGAGCGCCAGGCTGCAGTGCTTGTAGCTAGGGTCTGGGACTATACAGCTGCAGCCATGCATGAGGCGTTGTGGAATGCACTCCCCTCTGCCAGGGAGGGAGAGACTGCACTCCACAGCAATAACGAAGCATTTCTCCTCTAGTGCTGTGCATTACAGAAGCCATCGCTTACCCAGGGGGGCTGTCGGCGCTCTCTTCTGCGGTCCTGCGTGCTCCACCCTCATGCTCTTCACGGTCATCGTTCTGGTCGCTCTTTCTCTCTGCAGTCACATCTGAAGATTCCAACAATGCTTCCTGCATCCCACAAGTGGCCCAACTGCTCATTCGCTGGAAATAGTGGAATTCCACTGCTCCAAGGCCTAGCGCCCTGAAATATTCTTTGCCCACATAATGTCTCCAATCACACCTGTGGTGACAACAGAGGGCAATAACAATGCCAGCCACAGGAGTCCACTTGTCTGGGACATTTTTTTCACTTCTTTCCTTGGTCAAAGTGTTAATTCCTTTTTCTGTTTTATCATTCTTTATGCGTTTGGCTAAAGGTTCTTCATTCCTTTCCTCATAACTGGCAGCATAGGTTTCAACCAAACATCGTAATGCAAGATCTGCAAACACAATTATGTGGCCCCCCAAACCACATCATCTTTAAAAATATTTTTTAACATTTATTAAACATTACGGTTTTTAAAAATTCAACAACAAAAACAATAAAAGACTTACTTAGCTTTATACTTGCCTCACAAATTAACTTTGTGCAAATTTGTTTTCTATCTTAATTTCTCTAGTGATTTTGCATGAAGCCTACTTCCCAGTAAAACTATCTGAAGCTCTCTACAGTCTGAAAAATTTACGTTCAGCTACTTGGATTGCTTCTCAGTTCTTCGACCCTGGCTGAGGAAATGACTTATAAAAAACATCAGCCAGGTGTGAGGGCACAGCTTATAATCTCAGTATTCTGGGAGGCTGGGAAAGGAGGATCACAAATTCAAGTCCAGCCTAGGTAATTTAATGACTCAGTGAGACCCTGCCTCAAAATAAAAAATAAAAAAGGGTTGGGTATCTAATTCAATGTGAGGCTTTGTGTTCAGTCCCTGGTACAGGGGGAAAAAAGACAAACTAAAACCAGAAAACATTTATCCATCTATAGTTATATTTCATAGAAATTTTAAAGTCAAGAAACCCAAAGAAATGAATTAAGGAAAACAATTCTGCTTAGCATTTTGATGCTACAGTAGGTCAAAAAACTCATCTTGATAAGATACTCACTGTGAATATTTATGAACTGAAGTTGCAAAAAGGGCATCAGAATGTGCAAAGTAGGGTTTGTGGAGTCACCTATCTGTAATTACGCTTGCAGCCAATAAGTATTTAATGAATGCCTTTTGTGTGCAAAGCTTTGAGGAGGTAGTAATTAACACACACAAATTTAGAGTGGCATTACTTCATATTCAAATAAAATGAATTAGAACATTTAAAAATTTTTAAACTGGATTTTTGATGACAAAAACTGTTACATTTTTCAAAATATTTGAAAAGCTATAACTATTAACCATAAAATCCCACATTTTCTCTGATTATACATAACATTATATCTCAGGAATCAACAATGGATACATATTTTTACATTTTATTACCCTAACACATCACAAGTGACAAATGATCTGATATTTCATTAGTAAATTTAATTCAATACATGAATTTAAGTCAACAACATTATTTGGAACCTATATTTGGAACAAGTGATAGCTAATCTATTATTTCATAAACTATTATTTTTTTCCTTTCCTTTCCTTTTTTTTTTAAATTTTGAGATGGGTGTCTCACTAAGTTGTATAGGCTGGCCTTAAATATGCCATCCTCCTGCCTTAGCCTCCAGAGTACCTGGGACTACAAGTATAACATTGTGCTACGTTTCTACAAAATATATTCAGGTGTAGTTTTATTCATATTTAACTTAAGCAAAAGATTTTTAGAAATGAGAATAATCAGATGAGAGTTTAAAAGGATTAAGTTATTTCAAAATGAAAAGGAGCTTTAACAATCTATTTTAATACCTTTTATATAATGATTTGTGTTTTTGTTTTTAATTTTTTAAGAAAGACTCTCATTTTGTAATTCAGACTGGCCTTGAACTCTTTACAATCCTCCTGCCTCAGCATGATTCCATTCCTAGTTTCTGTAATGATCTTATAAGGCATAAACCTACATCCTTGGAAAGGGACAGTGAAACAACAAATTGGTTGCTAAGATCACTCATTCATGAAAACATTTGTTCAGTTCTTGTTATATTCCCAGCATTTTATTAGGATATGGTCTATTCTCGAAAAATTCAGAGCGTGGTGGGAGAATTAGTTATCTGAACAGTTAAGCTGGTAAGATAAAGTTGTGTAGTAGGTATTCCCACAATATTAAGAAAGCGTATCTCATTTAAGGAGGTTCCTTGTAAATGGTGATAACTGAGCTGAGTAGAAACTGACTAGCTTTGGGGATGGAGGACAATGGGATTTTAAAGGTAATAGGGACAGTATAGTGTATTAGGAAGCACACAAGATTTGATGTTGCTGACTAGAAAAGCTGGCAGACCTATCAAAGAAGGGGAAAGACACATTACAGGTCTGATCTGAATATTAATACTGGGGGACAAAGAGGGGAAAGTGACCAAGAAATAAGCAGAAAGAACGGTCTTAGTAAAGGGGATGAACTGGGAAAGAAGTGTCACAGAAGAAAAGGAAATAGAATGTTGAAAGGGGAATTCAGATTAGAACGAATCATGGGGGTAAAGTGTATAGAACATGAGAAATGGTCATTGTAGGTTCCACTTAAAAGAAATCTGAAATAGATGAAAGTATATGCTTCTCCCAACCCCAAGGAACAGTTGACTTCAGAAGGCTTTTATGAGTGTCAAATAAGGTGTGTGAAGTATTCCAACTATGAAGGACCATTCCAACTATGAAGGACCGCCCAATTATATAGTGCTCAGAGTCTTTTTCAGCCAACTAAATGATCTTTTGTAGGGGCTGTGGGTTCCCATGTGTGTAGATGATGAAATTAGCAGAGGCCAGGAATAAGGAGTACCAACAGCCAATTTTAGTGAGCACTTCACATGCAACCTTTTAAATTATATTATCTTCACTATATTACAGATGAGGTAACCAAAGCTCACAAAGGTTAAAATTACACAGAAGAGCTGAAAGCTAGACTGATTCCTAAGTGCATGATGTTTCAACTTACCACTCTAGATTGAATGAAAAAAAGTTCTAAAACAATAACATCTTAGATTTTTTTCTGGTCTAAAATTTCTTTTTCCCAAGAAAGACAGTGATTTTCCAGTGGGAGAGGCTACTGATACTTCCCAATCACCTTTTTTAAAGAAGCCAGTCCCTTTGGAGATAGAATTATACAGTTTCTCTAAATGAAGTTTCTCTTTTTTTTTTCATTGAACTGTAAGCCCAAAACCCTTACAGTCCCATGCAACATAAGATTTATACACAAAATTCTTAACTCATCCTATGAAATGGTCAAAATGAGCACATAAATAGGAAAGTACTACTATGAAGACTGATGAGCTATAAATGTGAGAAATCTAATCACCTCAAAAGAGACCACCAAAGTGGCTGGGGCTATGTAGGCTCTAACATAGTGTGTTCATTTAAAATTAGCGCATTTACATACCTGTTGCCACACCACACAGATGTTTCCCAATTCCTACCACAGGCATTTTCCCTTCTCTTAGCACAGGAATCTTGTCTGAAATAAAATGAAGTAAGAACTATGTTAGCACCTTTGGGAAGTAAAAGATTTAGTGTGGCCTTCTAAGAGAAAAAAAATTAATCAGAACTTTAATTCTAAACCCAGTGATTTATATATAAATGCTGGGTTGTTTCTCAATGCTAGGTTAAAATTAATAAACAGATAATGTTGCTGAAATATGTTTGTACTATTTTCTTTAAAATAATAAACCACAGGGGTCAGGGAGATAGCTCAGTAGAATAAATGCTTCCCTGGCAAGCGCAAGGACCTGAGTTCAATCCCTGGTTCCGCCAAAATAAATAAATAAATAAATAAAATAATAAACCACAAAAAAGGTAAAAAAAGGGCTCTAGGGGTATGTGCATATGAAATGTGAATTTCACAGTGGTAACACAGTATAAAATTCTAGTAAGTTTCTTATATATATTAGCAATGCTGATAACCATAACTCATTTTCTTTAATGATTTTGGTAAAGTCATGTTGTCTATAGGAAGGCAGCAAAAGTTCATGGTATGAACACATACAATATTAGTTTAAATAAGACAAGCAATTTAGGACATATTATCAAAATGTTTAAACTCTACCTAAATATAACACTTCATTTCTAGTTGATACTGAAAAGCTTTTTGAAGGTTTGATAATTCAGTTTATATTAATCTGTTATGTATAAGAGTCTGTATTGATAAAAATGGATGAATTTGTTCTTTCTGAAGCACTTGTTCTGCATGATTGGATTTCTAAGGAACTTTCTGCATGACTGAAACATCTGTGATTTATGGTAAAGCAACCAAAAGTTATGCAACTTACTCAAACACAAGTGTTGAATATCAATTTGAAGTCTTTCAAACACTGAATTTTTCTTTCTGTGTTTGCCATCTACCTGTATAAACAGAACATTGTAACAGTGATTTTTCATGTTACACAAAAGCTTAATGAAAATATTTCTATTTGTTTTCCAGACTCACAGTAAATGACTTATCTTATTTTTTACTATTAAAAAAATGGGGCCAACAAGGCAGCTCAGCAGATTAAGCGCCTGCTTAGGCAAGTGCAGGGATTGGGCTTGATCCCTGGCATCACACACCCTACTGGCCCTGCACCTGGGCAAGCTAAGCCTGCCACTGAGACTGGGCGTGATGGCACATGCCTGTAACCTCAGCTCTGGGGAGGCTGAAAACAGGAGGATCACTATGAGTCCAAACTGTGTAGTGAGACCCTGTACCAAATATATAATAAATGAATAAACAACAGAAAACATAACAAAACTTAAGACTGTACAATTTAAGCTGGACACAGCGGCACATGTCTGTAATCCCAGCACTATGGGAGGCTGAGGTGGAGGATTGTAAAGTTTGAGCTTTGCCAGGGCAACTTTGTGACTTAGTGAGATTCAGTCTCAAAAAATTTTACGTAGGGCTGGAAGGATAGCTAAGTAGAAAGAGCCAAGTTCAAATTCCAGTATGGTCCTCCCCCAGGCCCACTTTCTGAAGAAAACTCCAAAACAGTATTATGCATGTGTATAAGGTTTTAATTTTTCATTATCATGTATACATTATTTCTTTTAACTTTAAAAATGTATGATTCAAGGGCTGGCCAAATAGCTCAGCGGATTAAAGTACTTGAAAGCAGGCGCAGGGGCCAGGGGTTCGATCCCCCGGCCTGCCAGGGTGTGCTAAGACAGCAAATGAGACTGGGCGTGGTGGCACACACCTGTAATCCCAGCTCATGGGAGGCTGTAAACAGGTCCAACCTAGCAGTGAGACCCTGAACACCCTGTAGACCCTTCCCTATAAATGCAAAAAAAAAAAAAAAAAGTCTGATTCATGAAGGTTCACTGCTGCTCAGTGACTTAGACTACTTGCCAGCTGCTTTATCTCCGTAACCTCTAACACTCTACTCTCAGCCCCCTTCTTGTTCTCTGAAAGACAACCACCATCTCATCCACCTGTGCACCTGCGACCTACTCACCTAAGCCCTTGGCCCAATTCTCTCTGAGGAGGTGACAGATACACCCGACTGTGAACTAGAAAACTCTGTACTTCAACAGCAAACTAGACACTTTTAGAATCAACCAAATTATTTCTTCCTCCAAACCTATCTTTCTGGTCCTCCTGGCATACTCCTATTTCAGAAAGAGTGATACCGCTTAGTCACTTAAGCCATAAAAATATTACTCAAAATTATGAGTTTCTCAAATTCAGTGAACAATAAATCACCAAGTTCTTGGCTTTTAACATCTTAACATTTCTCATACTCTTCCCCTCTGCATTCCATCACAATGGCCTTGGCTCTCTGGCCCATTTCTTACCTGGATTATTTATTGCATAATATTATCTTATTATTAATCTCACTACTTCAAGTCTCAGATTCTTCTGATATAGTTTTAATTGTACTTACAGGAAATCTTGAAAAAATTCTTTTGACTTCATTAGTGCTTATGTAGTCTTTTGAACCCTTCTCAACTGTCACCTCCTCCAAGAAATTTTCCAAGCAGCCCACACTAGACTAAGGTTGGTTCTCTATCTTTAGGGTCCCATTGCATCAGGTATTTACTATTGTTATAACATACTTAACATACAGAACCAAAATATTTCCATACTTGTAGAACTATCTATAAACATCTTGAAGGGAAGAACCAAATTTTAGCCAAGTATGGTGGCACAAACCCATGAATTCCAGCACTTGAGAGGCTGATGCAGGAGGATTTAGGTCAGCCTGGCCTACACAGTGAGTTTAAGGTCAGCCTTAACTACATAGTGAGACCCTGTCTCAAAAAGAAGAAAAAGAACCAAATCTTTTCCACTGTGTCCCAGCACACAGCAGGAGAAAGTTATATAGGGAAGTTTTTCCTGGCTAGCTCTCCTCAGTCTCATTATTCTTGAACTCCACTTCATATCACACACATTAAAACAAAGACGTTTCCATGTTTCCTTCTTGCTTCAGGAATTTGGTTACAATGCTCTTGTCTCCTACAGTGCTCCTTTTTTTTTTTTTTTTTTTTTGCGGGACCAGGGATTGATATCAGACCCTTGTGCTTGCCAGGGAAGTGCTTATTCTACTGAGCCATCTCCCTGGCCCTATGGTGCTTCTTAAACTCAGCTAGCAAATACTACTTCACCTTTCAACATTCAGTTCAAGAATCACTGTGTCTGTGAAGTAATTCTATATCCTTTCTTTGGTGTAACCTGTCAATCCTTTCTTTGAACCCTGAACTATACTTTGCATAGACTGTACTCCCCATATCTTAACACATGACTACAATTATTTGTTATCTCTCCTTTCTAAATTCCAGTAATCTCACCTTTTCCTTTCTCTATAAAGGTTTCTCTTTTTTAACTTTTTTTTTATTGTACTGGGTATCAAACTCAGGACCTTATGCTTGCCAGGCAGGTGCTTGCTGCTGAGCTATCGTTCCTGCTTCCTCTCTTTAAACTTTTTATATACCCAGTGTTTATTATGGTCCTGAGACTATACCAATAGGTGTTTATGAATGAATAGTAAGTGGTAGAAGTAAAACCCCAAGATGTCACACTAAGCTATATGCTGAGCCGTTTATTTGCTTACTTACTTAGTGACGGGGTTCCACTAAATTGCTAGGTTTCCCAGACTGAGCTTGAAATCAGTGGTCATCTTGCGTTAGCGTTCCCGAGTGTTTAGACTACAGGTACATGCCACCATACCTGGCACCCCCGGCTCCTAAGTCTGAGCTTCAGCTTGATTCTATATCTTCCTGTATTTGCAAAAGAGGCTGATATATAGCTTAGTGGCATAATGCCAGCCTGGCAAGCACAGGGTTGAGTTCAATTTCCATTTCCAAAAAAAACCCCCAAAACCAAAACACTAAAAATTCAGATAGATCATGGACTATCAAAATTTAGATTTAAAAGTTTATGTTCATTTTGATTGTGTTCAACACACTTGGAGCTGACAAAAAGCTATAAGCAAATGCACAAGAAAAATCATTTTAGAAGAGATGATTTTATAATGTTTTTCCTAAGTAAGAAAAATGTAAACAAAGTTTGGTTACTAATATACTGTAATAGTTACACTTACCTTAAACCTTGTGGTCACTTTTTCCACTAGGATGAAGTGAACTTTTTCAGCATCTTTTAAAGCAATATCAACCCAGTGAGATAATTTTCCCTTTCCTGCTCCAAACTCAACAAAGCATCTTCTTGGGCCAAGTAACTTTAATTTTTCAATGTTACCTAAAATAGAAGCCTACAAACTTCACAAGATTATTTTACAAACTAAAGCAAACACATTTAGCTTATATGGAAAAATAGCAAGGTGATTTCAAAATTAGGCTGTATGTCACATTGATAAACGGTTTGACCTTAAAGTTTTTGGTCTTTTAAATACTTAATACTCTACTCAGAAACATATTCATGCCAAATATTTTTATACATATTTTTGAACCCTAAAAAATAAATTAAATAAAATTTCATTAATAACTAGATTGAGGAAAAAACAGGAAGTTAGCTTTAAATGAATGGACAGGGTAGTTACTGGGGTTTAAACATACTTGCTGCTTCAGGTGCTTGATTGCAGAATCACCATTTTTAGGGTCATTAAGGGCATCATGCAACACTGGATGGGACATAATGTGATCTGTAAGTGTAGAATTCAAACCTGTACCAAACAGAAATGTAATAGCTTAAGCAATCTAATTGAAAAACTATGACACTAAACAATGGTAGAAATATCCTGTAAACCAGAATATCAACTCATACACCACCTAATTATTCTAAAATAATTTAATTAACAACATTAGGCTAATTAGCCTTACCTTTACTTGCTTTTCTCAATTTCTTAATTAAATTTTCCAACTGCTCTTCAGATAGAGAAGAAATTGGAACCTATACACAGAAATAAAACTAAATAATGGAGCCAAAAAATTGCTTTACAGCACCATGGCAAAGACTGATTAGAGGCTTACAGTTAGGTAAATCTCAGTGGTAGCTTAGGCTCTTCTTTCTAATAAAAATCTCTTCCTTCAGCAGCTATCAGAATGGCTCAACTGCTAAGTGTCCACCCAATCTCTGTCATGCTACTTTAATCCACCTATATTTTCAGGGGTCAAGAAGTGTAGACCAAGAAAAGTCTAGAAGCACAACAGACTCAGACGCACTTTTAGCTGGTTATGGGGCATGAGCTGATTTGTGAACTAATCATTACTGATAATGCTAATCCTAGAGGAAAATGCATTTTAAATTCAAAGCAACAAATTTACTCCAAAAATTATGCACAAGAGAGAGAGAGTTTACAAATACCTTTTAAATATTAAGTCAAAGTACTTACTAGCTGCTCAGGTATTTCTGTTTCATCTTTTAAGCCTGCATTAATATCCTGAATAAAGAAATCCTTGACAAACACAAAACAAAATCATAACATTAATATGAAGCTCATAAAAACTGAGGTAAAACTGATTTATCCCTTCATCCCACACTTGATAGCTGCCATTCTCCCTTTGTCGAACTCATTCAGTTATTAAAATAATTACTGAGTACCTGCTTTGGTTTACATCAGTAATAGAGAAGCTTTTAGAGCTTTCAATACAAATAGCCCACTGTGGCATCTATGCCACAGGATTGCCACCACTGGTTCAGATGCTGGGAATTCACCATAGTAAATAAAGGAACAGACAAATCTCCATGTTCATGGTTTTTATATTCTAGTGAGATAGTTATGTAAATAAGCACTTACAGTCTAAAAACTTCACTGGTAATTTCATTGAAGTTTTCACTTGTTTACAACACTTTTGCCTTGTGGTGTTAATGCAAAAACAAGAGTGCATACTGCTTACCAAATATACAGACAGTAGAGTTATACAATGGTATAAAGCTGATATTTTGTGCTTTACTATAATTTTAAATAGGAAAAAATATCCTGTAACACTGCATTTTTAAAATGAATATAATGTGATCTTTTTACTTCATCTGCAGAAACATAAATTCTTGGTAAAGATCAAAATCAGTTTTGCTCAACAGAATTTTCTGCAATGAAGAAAATATTCTGAAGAATGGCCAGACAGCTCAGCAGATTAAAGCACCTACTTAGGCAGATGCAAGGGCCACAGTGCCCGGGGTTTGATGCTGTACTGGCCCTGCCCAGCCCCGAGGGGTGGTGGAGGGGACTGACACTGGGCGTGATGGTATACGCCTATAATCCCAGTGCTTGGGAGGCTGAAAACAGGAGAATCACTATGAGTCTGATCTGTGTAGTGAGACCCTGTACTAAATACATTAAAAAAAAAAAAGAAAAAGAAAAGAAAATATTCTGTATCTACCCTAACCAAATAATAGCCACTAAATGTGAATATGGATATATTCACATTTTGGTATTTTATTTTTCAAAAATTCATTTGGGGGGGGCTGGGGAGATGGCTCAGTGGAATAAGCGCTTCCCTGGCAAGC